CAGGTACCCAGACAATATTTGGCTAGCGGAGCAGAAAAGAAATTAATGTGACTCGCTTGCCGACGTGTACATACAAAATTAACATGTATATATAATAGCTTAAAATATCTGTGTTATATAAACTTTTATGTAATAGTGATTTAAGGAAAATTATTTGGCAGTGAACTGCCTGTTTTAAATACCACGTCTAATTAATTCTTTTCACTTTATCATTACTAATATGTGTTTGGCGTTTCGGTAATGCTTGCTCATAAATCAAGTTTCAACTGTTATCAGGTTTTATTTAATGGTACATACGAATGATGTGTTTTAAAGCTTTGTAGTGACGTCATAATTTGTTAACAAGGAACAGATGGAATGCATACACAGGAATTCAGTAGATTTGTCAGAATCCCATACGTTACAGGAAAATGATCAAGAACAGAATTATTTAATCAAAACATCAAACAGTTACTTCCTGTTTTTTTTTTCTTTCTTTTATCTATTTACTTTCTTTATTTCATTTCGAATAATAAATAAATAAATAAATACGTAATTCCGGAAATGTTTCCTTGTACATGTAATGATTTTTGATAAGATCGGGTCAAACGATATGTTTTTTTTTTTTCAATTGTCCATGATATGTATAAGTGTTATGTTTACTCTAATTTTACAAGATTTCTGACGTTTTCTTATATTCTTAATTGGCACAATACAATTTTGAAATCAATCCAGAGGTATCACAAACAAACTAAAAAATATTCTATTTTTACGAAATCATTATGGATGACAACGAACGGATGACAAGATGCGCACAACACGGGGCGGAGGACACACCGCGGACGTTGAAGGATGGACGAAACAAATACAAGGACGCTAAGGGCGACAAAAGGCGAAAACACGACAAACGACTAAAGCTAAATGGCACTGGTCAGACGACAAAAAAGTACGACGCACGATCGCCGACAAAAGGCGGACGACACACGACAGACGACAAAATGCGGACGACGCACGACAGACGACAAAAGGCGGACGACAAAAGGCGGACGACGCACAACAGACGATAAAAGGCGAATGAGTAACGACAGATGACAAAAGGCGGACGACTCACGATAGATGACAAAAGACGGAGGAAACACGACAGACGACAAAAGGCGGACGACAAACGACAGACGACAAAATGCGGACGACTAACGATAGATGTCAAAAGGCGGACGACGCACAATTCACGACAAAAGGCGGACGACGCACGACAGACGACAAAAGGCGGACGACGCACGACAGACGACAAAAGGCGAACGACAGACGACAAAAGGCGGACGACGCACAACAGACGATAAAAGGCGAATGAGTAACGACAGATGACAAAAGGCGGACGACTCACGATAGATGACAAAAGACGGAGGAAACACGACAGACGACAAAAGGCGGACGACAAACGACAGACGACAAAAGGCGGAGGACAAACGAGAGATGACAAAAGACGAACGACTAACGATAGATGACAAAAGACGGAGGAAACACGACAGACGACAAAAGGCGGACGACAAACGACGGATGACCAAAGGCGGACGACAAACGACAGACGACAAAAGGTGGACGACGCACGATAGATGACAAAAGACGGACGACTCACGACAGACGACAAAAGGCGGACGAAGAACGACAGATGACAAAAGAACTACAACGCATGAAAGACGACAAAAGGCGGACGAAGCAGAAAACGGAAGGCATAAAGTGAACGGTGTACATATTGATGGAAAAATGAGACAGTAAACTAAATTAAATATACAAAACAAAAACAAAAAACAAATAAATAAAATAAGATAAATAAATGGAAGAAATGAATAAATAAAAATCAGCGACAAAATTGAATAAAATAATAATGATAAGACATTAGGGCGTTCACGTGTATGTCATAAGACAAACACACAAATGATATATCGTCTCACCGTGTATTATGTGTGGGCCCTTATCAAACTTCGGTGGAGAATATGTTTATCATAACCAAGATAGAACGGGTTATGATTAAGCGTTATATACCAGGCATTGAAACCACGTGTGTACCGTTCTTTATCAAACTCTCCTTCCAATCAAACCATTAAGGATTATTTTATGCGGGACTACAAGTGATCACAGGTGTGATCATAAGAAGAATGCTAACACTCGATCTGATCGCTCGTTGATAGAGAACATATTCTTACCATGCATCTGTTTGTTATGGGGAAGTTTATTCCATACCTCATATCAGGATTTATGTCTTAAGCTTAAAAGAATGCGTTTGAAAGTAAGATTTGAACAAAGATTACATTTCAAACACTTGAAACTACGTTTTTAAATTTACAATATAGTCTCGATAGTCACGTCGTTGTTTTCCATTCCAGTGTTATAGCCTGAGAGTGAAATTTTTATTTCGATTTTTAGTGATGATTCTTTAGATTAACTTAATGATAACGGAAATAAAAATCTGACATCATCATAGTAACCCGACACCATCATAGCAACCCGACACCACCATAGCAACCCGATACCACCATAGCAACCCGACACCATCATAACAACCTATCACAACCATAGTTACCCAACAGAACCATAGTAACTCGTCACCATCATAGTAACCTGACATCACCATAGTAACTCGACATCACCATAGTAACCCGACCCCATCATAGTAACCCGACACCACCATAGTAACCCGACATCACTATAGTAACCCGACACCATCATAGTAACCCGACATGACCATAGTAACTCGACACCATCATAACAACCCGACACCACCATAGTAACCCGACACCGCCATAGTAACCCGACACCATCATAACAACCCGACACCACCATAGTAAACTGACACCATCATAGCAACCCGACACCATCATAGTAACCAGACACCACCATAGTAACCCGACACCACCATAGTAACCCGACACCACCCTAGTAACCCGACACCATCATAGTAACCCGACACCATCATAGTAATCCGACACCATTATAGTAACCTGACACCACCATAGTAACCTGACACCACCATAGCAACCCGACACCACAATAGCAACCCGACACCACCATAGTAATCCGACACCATTATAGTACCTTACACCACCTTAGTAACCCGACACCACCACAGCAACCCGATACCATCATAGCAACCTATCACCAACATAGTAAACAGACACCACCATAGTGACCCGACCCCATCATAGCAACCTATCACAACCATAGTTACCCAACACCACCATAGTAACTCGACACCATCATAGTAACCTGACACCATCATAGTAACTCGACACCATCATAGTAACCTGACACCATCATAGTAACCCGACACCATCATAGTAACCCGACACCACCATAGTAACCCGACACCACCACAGTAACCCGACACCATCATAGCAACCCGACACCACCATAGTAACCCGACACCACCACAGTAACCCGACACCATCATAGTAACCCGACACCACCATAGTAATCCGACACCACAATTTAGAAACATCTTTAGAATTAATTGTTTTGTCTTTGTTCGTCGAAAAATCTTCAGCACTCATGAATGACATACTGACAATCTGCAAACTTTAGTGAAGATCAAAATATTTAAAATTCCTTTATGACGCTTTCAGTGTTTTATCAAAAACCTATTTTTTGTTTTGTTTTCGTTTTTTTTAACCTTATTTTTTACTGACTTTGTTACCGTAGTTACCGTTGAAGCAAATAGCCCCGAGATCTCTCACATACGATGTCTGACGTGACAACCAATCTCAAAAGAGTGTTCCGTCTCTATGACGCCTCAAATTTGTGACCCGCTACACACATAACGAGTCTTCTGGATTTTTTATCCGATATTGGCGCACGAATTGCTTGCTGGAAGGCGTTGTTCACAGAAACGCAGACTCAGATTTTGTTAAAGTATTTTTCTGATGAAAACATCGAAAAACACTAAAATTCATTAAGAAACTGACATTAGATAGACGAGGATACACAGAAAATTCGACAGATCTTAACCTACTGTGTAGGTTTTCATAGTGCAAGCATACTACCACTGAACCACAATTTTACGATATCTGATCGGGGTGACTTTTGCTTGACTGTAGAACATAAAGGACGTGGATATTGACAAATTTTTCAATTTAAAAGAAATCCTAATGTATGATGATTGAGGTGCAGTCATCTGGCTGTTTAATGTTCCTTAGAGGCGGTTTATCAGGAACTCTTAATTTTGGTTAAAGTAGAAGTATTGCTTTTTCGTTCTTATTGGTTTCGTTTCTCCGCCGATTTCGATACTTAAGACGTAATCGTCTTCAACCACAAAAAATACCGCCGTGGTCACCTTAAAATTTTAAACATTATTCACGTTTTCATACATTTCATCACAGTCGACATTTTCAGAGGTTAAATAATGGATTACCTCCCTTTTATTAAAGACTAATTGAATTATTTTTTTAATTATTTCGGCCAACATCTGACCCCTCGCTCTCTTATATACACGTCTTCGGCTCCTTCAGCACCTGTGACGAGTCCTAAAATAAACTGCAGGATGCAGTTATCTGAAATATATATTTTGTGTTTAACCTTACAAATACTGTAAGTTTAAATTTATATCCGTTAAATTTCGTCCAATATTTATTTATCTGTTTTATTGTCGGCGTCACATTTTTAAATATATATATATATCTTTTGTCAATCACTATTTGCATAACTTGTGATGAATGTCGCTCAATATCTGTCTAAACATCTCGTTTACTCTGTTAGTTTTATTCAATAACCGATGGAAAGCTATCGGCTGTAGGTGTTGATCATCGTTATTTAATTTTGTTGTGTGTTTTGTTTGTTTGTTTGTTTTTTTTCATTAAGTTAAAAAAAAATAAAGAATATAAATTGTCCAACACAAAAGTCAACGAGATAACAATTAAACATCGTTTTCTTACCGTCGTAATACTTCAGAAGATTTTTCGCACTTCAAATGAATATGATGTCATTTCCGGCACGTCTAACACCTCACTTCCTTTCTTTGTCTGTTGCAGACTGTCCTATTCTGACGAAGACGGTGAATGTTTCGTCCGAGCAGCGTCTGATGCTATACTTGATGGCCGGATACGAGAAGTCCATTCGTCCGGTCTACAATTCGTCCTCGCCTGTAGAGGTCAAACTTGGACTGACCTTGACCCAAATTCTTGACCTAGTAGGTGTTACATTTAAACTGACTACAGTCAGTCAAACTACCTCCTACACATATCGTACACTAATGGTGTGACAAGGTTTTCGGTTAAAGATGCTAAATGTTTCTCTTCACAATTACATTAAAAGCTCTCGAACGATTCTTAGGAGGAAAGGAAACAGTACAACTACTGTAACATGATGTACGATTCCTTTTAGCAAAGGGGCTGGCTGGTGGCGATATAAACTTCATTTATTTTACAAGAATTGGTATTTAAACATATATTTATAATTTTTGGGTCTGCCTGGGACCGCTCGTGGAACATTATTATGATTAATCTGTTAATATACTATCTTTCTACTACAAGAAGGTTATTTGTTTTTTTGTTTACAAGTGATACCAATAACAACACTTGGTTAGGAAGGTATTCTATGCATATAAGAACATGCATTTCGCCTCCAATTGTGTTTTGAAGAGTTGAACCCACCGCAGATTTTTATCTCCTTATTGAACATTTACCCATTGGTTGTTAATCTTTCACTTCAAGGCGTTGTCCCCGATTTTCTAAACCCCTTTCCATATGACCTTTTACGATAAAATCCCTTTCAACTAACTCAAATTTCTCTATTCAGCAAATACTCACTATTTCCATACAATACCTCAGCACAATTCGACTGTTGCTAGGCTAAAATCCCCCAACGACAATTTGAACGGAACTTTACCAAAGAACTAAATGCCATTAGTTCAACCGTTATAAATCCGCCATGACATTTTCATCTGCTTCAGCTGGACTCTCCGGAGGCTCCTTCTCTGAGCGCCTTTCACAAACGTTTCATAAACCTAGATCATGACTTTGTTCCTACATTAAATTATCTTCGCTAACTGTACTGCGCATTCCGGCGCGTGTGTAACAATAAGATTGTGACAATCAGATTACGAAATGTAAAATAGGTATCACAGTGTGATCACATGCATCCCTTTGTCTCATTTTGTGTTCGTTATTTAGAACTACTTTGTGCCATTGGGATGTCTGTGAGAACACACTGAAATGATTACAGTGTTACAGTGGTGTATTTTGGTTAATGCTGGTGAACTGGTGATTGTAACGCTGTGTGATGACGTATATTGTATCGTTATGTGATGACGTATATTGTATAGTTATGTGATGACGTATGTTGTATCGTTATGTGATGACGTATGTTGTATCGGTATGTGATGACGTATATTGTATCGCTGTGTGATGACGTATATTGTATCGGTATGTGATGACGTATGTTGTATCGGTTTGTGATGATGTATATTGTATCGTTATGTGATGATGTATATTGTATCGGTATGTGATGATGTATATTGTATAGTTATGTGATGACGTATATTGTATCGGTATGTGATGATGTATATTGTATAGTTATGTGATGACGTATATTGTATCGCTGTGTGATGACGTATATTGTATCGTTGTGTGATGACGTATATTGTATCGTTGTGTGATGACGTATGTTGTATCGGTATGTGATGACGTATATTGTATAGTTATGTGATGACGGATATTGTATCATTGTGTGATGACGTATGTTGTATCGGTATGTGATGACGTATATTGTATCGTTGTGTGATGACGGATATTGTATCATTGTGTGGTGACGTATGTTGTATCGGTATGTGATGACGTATATTGTAACGCTGTGTGATGACGGATATTGTATCATTGTGTGATGACGTATGTTGTATCGGTATGTGATGACGTATATTGTATAGTTATGTGATGACGTATATTGTATCGTTATGTGATGATGTATATTGTATCGGTATGTGATGACGTATGTTGTATCGGTATGTGATGACGTATATTGTATCGCTGTGTGATGACGTATGTTGTATCGGTATGTGATGACGTATATTGTATCGCTGTGTGATGACGTATGTTGTATCGGTATGTGATGACGTATATTGTATCGCTGTGTGATGACGTATGTTGTATCGGTATGTGATGACGTATATTGTAACGCTGTGTGATGACGGATATTGTATCATTATTTGATGACGTATTGTTGTGTGATGACGTATGTTGTATCGTTGTGTGATGACGGATATTGTATCGTTGTGTGATGACGTATGTTGTATCGGTATGTGATGACGTATATTGTAACGCTGTGTGATGACGTATATTGTATCGGTATGTGATGACGTATATTGTATCGGTATGTGATGATGTATATTGTATCGTTGTGTGATGACGTATATTGTATCGTTATATGATGACGGATATTGTATCGTTATGTGATGACGTATATTATGATGTTTACGTCCTGGTTGCTGTGTTTTTTGACGTGGTATTGTGATGGTTAAGTCCTGGTTGCTGTGTTGTTTTGACGTGATATTGTGTTGGTTAAATCCTGGTTGCTGTGTTGTTTTGACGTGACATTGTGATGGTTACGTCCTGGTGGCTGAGTAGTTTTGACGAGATATTGTGTTGGTTACGTCCTGGTGGCTGTGTTATTTTGACGTGATCTTGTGTTGGTTACGTCCTGGTGGCTGTGTTGTTTTGACGTGATATTGTGTTGGTTACATCCTGGTTGCTGTGTTGTTTTGACGAGATATTGCGTTGGTTACATCCTGGTTGTTGTGAAGTGTAAAGGTTATATAATATATTGTTGTATTTTAGCTGTAGTTAATGATGTGTTATGCTGTAAGATAATGTTATTGTCTTTCCCTAGCGTGAACGTTCACATTTTAAAACATATCGATTTAATGAAATCATTCTCTTCATTAATTAATCCGTTCAAACAAATAACGTATTTTTTTTTCATTATTTAAATATGTTTTCAAAAGATATTTGTGTTCACGTCTAATTTAATTCTTGATACCACAAACACACATTCTGACTAGAAACTAATTTTCAAATACCGCGATCGTGGAGTCGACAGTGATGCTGATGTTATTATAATAGACTTTTGCAAAATATTCAAGTTTTGATTAAATTTTCTTCAAACTTAATAGACTTTTAAATATTCATTTTATTCTTGTTCCGGAAAGTGTCGCCGGCGAAGATCTGGGATTCGTCATAATAACGTAGTAAAATGTATTGATTAGTCTCTGCAGTGTGACCTTAGCGTACCGGAAATACTTTATACAACTACAGTATATAATGATACTCAGAATGAGGCTGCAGCAAGGTTACTTTAGAGAAGTAAGACAGATCTATAAAATATATAGGTCAAAGTTATTTTTAGAAAAATGGTAAGTATCGAACTGTATAAAAATGTATGTATGTTTTAGTTTAGTTCCGGAAATTCTCTTCACAGCTTGTTATATATGGGTTCCGTATTGCAGTTAGGTATTTCCGGTTCCGGAGATTAATTAGTGTTTTTAATTTGAATGTAAAGTTCAAAGTGTTTTCTTTTCCCAAATAAAATGTACTGTATGCATATGTAATGTTATAAATTTGCTTTGTCGTCCCACGATATCATTTTGGTAAAACCTTGCATTATTTCTAATGAGCCATACACAAATCTTAAGAAAGGATTTTTTAATATTACACAAATAATATTCATACTTATAGCAGAAAGTAAAAAAAAAAAAAATTAAAAAATCAATCATTGACTAAATTTGATATAATTTTATGGGAAAACCAAACAAACAAACAAACAAACAAACAAAAAACAAAACAGAAAATGTCTGTTTTTGCATATTTTATATTTTCACATGGGGTGGGGGACGAGGGGTTCTTTGTAGACACCAAATACTCTAAAGTCTGATATTTTCGATATTATAAATTGATGCAATTTTATCATTAGTTTGAAACAAAAGGGGTGTTATTTTCACGGATGTCTTCTTTTCTTCTTCATTGGCAACAAATATTTTTATGCACAAAAATAATGAAAAATAAAAAAAACCTCAATATTTTAAGTGTTTACAGAGAAGAATGTGTAAGAACGGGCATTTTTTTTTACCACGAACGACGTTTTCGTCTTTAAGAAGCATAAATGAGAAAAATAAGATTTTTGGTGCTAAACACAAGCATCCAAACCCAATTAAAAAAAGTTTTGTGCAAAGTGATAAGTCTTAACACAAAAACTGGTCTAGGTGTAACTCTGAAATCCAGCCTCTTAACCACTGTGTATAGGTACATCCTGTGCCTCCGCATCGCTAAGAAATGACAAGTGGTCTGAATACTGACAAAACCATTTATTAGAAAGTGTCCAAATGCATTAAAACTCTTCACTAATTGACACATTTACTTACACTCTCTGCTACAAATGTCTTCGACAGGTTAACGTCATATTTATTCCGCTAAGTCTAGTGTTTGCTTGTTGATGTGAAGTGTTTTAAAGTGTGGTTGGTTAACTCGAGTTTAAAAGCTGCTATAATAGATGTACACATCTATACAGCTAATATTTCTCTCTCTCTCTCTGTCTCTGTCTCTCCGTGTCTCTGTCTCTTTCTCTCTCTCTCTGTCTCTCCGTGTCTCTGTTTCTCTCTCTGTCTGTCTGTCTGTCTCTCTCTCTCTGTCTCTCTGTCTCTCTCTCTCTCTCTCTCTCTCTCTCTCTCTCTCTCTCTCTCTCTCTCTCTCTCTCTCTCTCTCTCTCTCTCTCTCTCTCTCTCATTCTCTCTGTCTCTCTCTGTCTCTCTTTCTCTCTGTCTCTCCGTGTCTCTGCCTCTGTCTCTGTCACTGTCTCTCTCTCTCTCTCTGTCTGTCTATGTCTGTCTGTCTCTTTGTCTCTCTCTGTCTCTCTGTCTGTCCTTCTCTCTCTCTCTCTGTCTCTCTCTCTCTCATATATATATATATATATGTGTGTGTGTGCGTGCGCGCGCGTGTGTGTGTGTGTGTGTGTGTGTGAGGGTGTGTGTGTGTGTCTGTTTCTCTCTCTGCCTCTCTCTTTGTCTGTCTGTCTCTCTGTCTGTCTGTCTCTGTTTCTCTCTGTGTTTCTCTCTGTGTGTCTCTCTGTGTCTCTGTCTCTCCGTGTCTCTGTCTGTCTGTCTATTTGTCTGTCTCTCTCTGTCTGTCCCTCTCTCTCTCTGTCTCTTTGTCTCTCTGTGTGTCTCTCCCTCTCTCATATATATATATGTGCGTGCGTGCGTGTGTGTTTGTGTGTGTGAGGATGTGTGTGTGTGTTAATGTGCGTGTGCGTGTGTGGCTTATTTCAATCAATATGTTAAATATGTTGAAATGGGAATATCTATGTGAAGTTTCTTAATCTCGATTTTTAGTCAATAACATGTATTTTTGTTTTAAATCATTATTCAAATGCAGCTGTCAATGGATGAATTTCTTACATGTTAAATTGCAATACCAACTGGGTATTTCAAGTTCAACCTATTAATATCAGAAAACCGGTTATTATCAGAAAAAACGTTTAAGATTTGAAAACCGGTTAATATAAAGCGGCGCTAAAAATAGATTCTGGAAATACCCTAACATCCGGGTTAGTCTGTTTCTCCAAATGCACAAAGGTGCAATATTGTAAATGATAACCATATGCAACAGAATTGAATTTTTATTACATGTTGTCTTTATTTAAAACATTTTTTTTACGAAATAAGAGTTACTTAAATGTATATATGATGATGTTGAAAAATTAGATATGTTATCATTAATCTTTCTTTACTATGAAATAAAACAGTTGTGGACTTTTTGCTCGGTTACTATATTGTGATACTGACTTGAAGACAAATATAAACCAAGGTGAATATTTGTTTTCTTTCGGTTAATATCACGGCGTATTAATCAAGTAAAAAGTCCTTAACTGTATAATACAAATAGTTTGTGTTAACCCGGATTGCTAGACATTAGGTATTTTACCAGGAGAAAAATTCCTTTGTATTTGGGATATCAGACTTTCGAGCATGACTTGTGTGATCTCTGTTGTATGTAAATAATACAATCTTGGTAAGAATTATCATCTAATGATGCCAGGTTGATAGTATCCTTTTGTTCAGCTTTAATGACCCCGCGGTCTGATGGGTGGGGCCAAAATGGGTCATGCTGACTAAAATTTCAAAAATCTTCTTTTCAAAACCTAGAAATGATAAAAACGAATGATCTTCATAGATGGAAGGGTCTTTATAGGTTTTACCCAAATTATGAACTTCATAAACCTGGATACCATATTTTTTCCTGAGAAGGGACAACATTTACCACTATATGTATAGGAAAATTATATTTTTGAGCATCATTTGTTAAAAGCTCTTCTTTCAGGAAAGGTAAATTACGTATTAAGGTAGGATAAAGTTTTAAACACTTTTCGTTTCAGGATGAGAAAAATCAGATTCTAACGACAAACGTTTGGATGGAAGTGGTAAGTAAACATATATTGTTTGTTGATAAAGGACCTTCCTCAAAATATCGTTTTGATATAAAGTTAATTCAATCTACGTTTTGTGATTTTTAAAAAATGGAAACCCATTCATTACATCATATCATAAGATTGATCTATATTACAATAATATTGTGAAACAAGATACAACTTTCGGGTATATCAATCACTCAAGTTGACCCGGATGTAAGCGCGCGAGGAGGAGGAAACCTGATTACCCCACGTGATCGGGCAGGTGACCACGTTTCTTTTGATGTCCATTCTGTAAATCGACAAAAAAAGTGAAATGCGAGTATTTTTTAAAAATTCTAAAAGTCGGTTTTTTTGGTAAGTTTGAAGTAAATATTACAATATTGCAAAGTTACTGTCTTCGTTTTCGCATGATGCTACGATGACGTCATTATGGCGTCACAATGAATGATAAATGTTAATTAAAAGATGTGCGATACCTCATACAAGTACATAACCTGCATCACAATAAATTAGATAATAGTACTGTACACTCTCCTTGATTTATCATTTTAGCACCATTTTCATTTTAAGGTCGGAAGGGGGCAGGTTTTTTAAAACTGGACCTATGATTTGGGGAAGTTAGGTGATCAATATGTTTTACATACTTGTCAGTGCATAATTTTCTGTAGAGAAAACTGATTCATTTTCTGTCACAGAAGTAATCAAGGTAAGACAATAAATATATACAAACTAAACACAAAAAAATGTAAAAAAAAAAAAAAAAAATCAAATTATAGAAGTAAAAAACTTATCTAATATATTAAGGAAATGATCTGGAATTGTCGCATTAAATTTATGAGGAAAACCCGTATTTTTACCGTAGTATGAAAATGGGAACATTCAGTTGTTTATTTGCAATAAGCAATACTAGCACCTAAACAAGTAAATATCTATTAAGCAAATCCAGGTATTTCTATCAAATAAAATAAAGAGATTAAGAAAATTTGATATGTAAGCCCATATTTGACAAAAACGAGGCCAAAACAAAAAAGAGATTGTTTCCGGCAAATTCGGAAAACTTAATTATGGGACGTAACTCTAATAATCAGGATTAATTTTATATGATGAATACGTAAATTTTCAGCGGTGTAGACACAGCATAGATATTAAGACTCCAGAACTTTCTAGTTCATTATCGAACGGTATGTGCTCTTTTTATATCACAAAACAAGCGTCTTTCGTTCACAAAAATAGTAATTGAGATTCGGCTGATCAATAAACGTCAATAGTCATGCCACAGATCACAATTTCCTTGTAAAAGGATTTCAGGTCTACCGAGGTTTTTGTTGAAAGATTGCTTTGAATTCGAAGTGTTGCGATTGAGATTTCGTTATACAGTGAAAACATGTTTTTTTTCTTTTTTTTTTTAATTTTCTAGCCTTAATGCTCTAAAAAGGAAATGTGTGTACAGTGTTCTTTTTCATCATACTGAACGTTGATATATTTTATTGTGTGTCTGAATCGGGTAACTTTACAGGTAATTACCGATATTATCGAAAAGTTACCGATTGAATAATATCAGAAAATAAACTACATAAATAAATTAAATAGTGAATCAGTTAAAATTGGGACGAGACCGTCAGTTTTATTGGTACGGACCAGCCACGCCTCCAGGTTGGCAATTACAGATAAACCACAGAAACCCGCCTCGATGATAACGAAACATATTTTTGATATGACATCAGGAGTTTGTCAGCTTATTGTGTCAATGTAATCACGCTTGATACATTATCTAAATCGACATATATAAAAAAAATTTAAAAAATAAGAAAGTTTTTTCAGTTTACTTCAGAGAAATATAATTTGACTAGGCATTGCCAACTGAAAAAATACATAATATCACAACATGGTTTGAGGTTAGCAAAACAACGCTAAAGTGTTTTGGGACATTTTGCGCCTTGTTCCCTTTTTTTGCATTGAAGAGTTTTTTTCTAAGGGAGATAATTGGAAGTTGAATCGTGAAACTTGTCTATTAAGTTCAAAATTTGAAATATACATATCACACGTTGCTTTCATGGATGTGAGTTTCACATTTCTCCTTCGAGGCCCCAGATTTTGACCCCAGCAGACCATTAGTTGAAATATCCTCGTGTCGATCATTTACGATAGTAGTACACACAGTCCTGGAGAAGAACGCCGGGATACACTGGTACAACTGATTAAGATTTTTTTTTCACAAATCTTTTACAAAAAATGTACTGAACACTTTGAAGGGGATTTTAAGTGCAGATAAAGCTGGGACACAGCAGTAAACGTATATTGTATCATGTATATATTTAAAAAGTTCTGTGTGAGATCGAAATGCTTGTGTTGATTAAAATTTGGGAAGCAAATGTGAGTTGAGAAACAATTGAGGTTTTAATATTTGTTATAAGGATTTACTTCTCCAGTAAAGTTTTAATTCTTTTACACTTTATAATTCTCGTAGTAGTTAATATTTGTAGTTGAGAATAGACCCTTTAAAGCACACACAAAACAAAAAGTGATTTCCTATGTCTTGAATCTGAAGACAAATGACATATCAAATTATCTTAGTTTGTTGAACTCGTTATGACACCCGCACGAGTGTAAGATTCTATTTATAATATAAAACATATGTCTAAAAAAAGATAAGTGAAAATTAAAATTCATTTCTATTTTAGACCTATCTATTTCGACAGGAACGGTTCTTTTTCCCTATATATACTTCCGAGACAAACGTGTGACGTCATCAAGACGTACTTTATTAATGACGTCACAATTGTGTCATTACGCTTTTATTTATAACATGGACCTATGACACGACACAACAGTCCAATTATGCGATAACCCTAACACATACCTAAAAATTCTTACATATTTCATAATTAAATATGATTTATTGTACCAGTATCTAGGATAAATCTATGATTCACGAGTTATTCACGCCTGATTCTATTGATAGTGCAGGCTAAATTTCATTACTTACTCTGAAATTTATAAATTTGATGTGATGATTTAGAATATCAAAGATTGTTTCCTACATTTGTATTTTACATATATAACAATAACTGGGTGGTCGGGTGGCGCAGTGTTAACGCCTTTCACCTAGCCGACCGGGGTTCGATTCCCGGAACGGACGTGAAAAGGTAAGGGGTCACCTGCCCGACCACGTGGGTTTTCCCCGGTACTCCGGTTTCCTCCCACAGTAAGACCCCTCGCGCGCTTACATCCGGGCCAACAAGAGTGATTAGTATAAGTTGACATAACTTGTTTCGCAATTGTTGTAAAATAAATAAAGTTTATATTTAAAAATAACTGGTGCTTGCGTCCTGTACACTAGTTTTATGCATGTAACACTTTTTAAAAAATCCCTTCCGTAACCCTCAAGGTATGCCTCTACAAGAATCCCTGCGGTTGGCCTCCGGTATGATTTTCGATAAGGCATATCGAGCTTAATTGGTTTTCTGTGCAATAAAGATACATTCCGCATGTGTGAAGGTAGAAAATATATATAAAAAACACCGTAACTATCTCGATGATAATACAAGAAAAATACACTAATAGCTCAATGTTGGGAAAGATTTGCATGTACTTAAGCGATGTGATATTATTTATTTTCAACTACATAGGGGGCCATGCAATTATGATGTGTTAGATGTAAATGTTAATTCTCAGATGCGAGGGAACCTCAACATCGCCGTTTTATCATGATGAGATAAAAAAAAGTCACTTTCATACTTCAAAATGTAGGTCAGTGTTGGGCTCAATATGAAATCCTAAGAGTTTTGTTCAGTTGAAGTTTTCACCTTAGAAGACGAATTCCTTATATAAAGTATTACCTTCCAGCGTCTTGATTCAGCCATGTTCGGCTAAGACAATCGAAGTATCTGATCTGTATGTGTGTCAGAGTCTGTTCTGAAGCATATTAGTTTCGCATGATACTAGTTGTATATGGCGTTAAACGAAAAAGCTGGAATATAATTCCTTAATATCGGATCTGAACATCTCTCATTTACTAAATTTGAATCCAGTATGGAGTACTGTAATGGATTTGCCGAAATAGATTAAATCCTAGTATTTTACAAACTACAAACTTGTTTGATAGAGTTAACAAGACATTGATCAAAGAACCGGCTGTGTATTCAGAAATTTTATTTAGTTGTCAATAGACAAAACATCGTGACATGACTTCGACACACGGAGCATTAGTTAACGTGTTAAAGAGAGTATTTAGCGAACAAGCTTGTACAAGCATAATCGATATTTTTTTAATTGATATGGGTAAAACCGATTCGACATAAATGTATTTGAAAATGATTGCTACCTCACTGAACAACATACGAGAGGCCGATCTAAATTCAGTTGGATAAAGTGGAGTTTTGCCCAATGACTGACACAGTCATTATAACGGGAATCATAAAACCGTCTGGAAAAGTGATTGTCAATCACACACGACGAATAGCTATTTATAGTTTCACTCATATGTATATAGACCTATAAACAACAGTAATCTATTTGTTTTGTTTTTTTTATTTTTTTTTTTTTTTTGTGAGTGATTTCCATCGGATACTGGTCGAAATATTCTGTTCAACAGTTGCAAATATATACATTTACTCTACGTTGGGGCCAAATACATTTGCACCGTGATGTCAAACTGATGTTTCAGAATGTGCTTTGTCAATCAACAGAATCAGTTACCACCGAAATATCGAAAGTGCTGCTTGCCTGCTTATGAATAATTGAATATTGCAGATCCAGTTACTTTAAATGGCTTAAAAAACCTTTACTTTTATTATCTATTTTCTCACCGCTCTCCGTCACCTCCCTGGCTGTCTATTATCGCTATTCCACTTGTTAAAAGGTTCATTTAGGATGCATTATCGTCATTACCAAATCAACCGCACATACAAATTGCATGTTTCATTTGTTGTCAAAATGAGCGTCATTATTGGTTTGCACGTTATTAAGATACCCAGCGCCATTGGAATCTGTGTACAGACAAGACATCTGATCAGGAAAGATTTTTTCCCGAACGGAGCTGAAATGTGGCAATACGCAATGGGGCGTTCAAGCGGAATAAATAAATAAATAAATAAAATTTTCTCAATATTAATAGAAATCATACAGGTTCTTTTTTACGTACTTCGATATACTTACAACACACGTGTTATCATTTCAATAAAGTACCAGTCAACCCTATCATCCCTAACGGCTTTTATACATACTATCTTTAACCCCTGCACGTGCGGTTAGTTGATCACGTGACTGTGGGATGCCGTTCGAGCTGCAACGATAAGAAATAACTACGCGTATTCACGGTATCTGTGGTAGTTATCGGGGGACTCATTACCAACGCAGCAGTATACAAGAGATGATTGCAGGGTGAAATGGCTGCAATTAGTCCCACGATGCCGCGGTAAACAAGTTCTTGATTATTCTTCCGCGGTTAAGAGATATCTTGTGGCGATAAATTTCAAAATAAATATGTTTTTAATAATAATTTTGAATTTATAAACATTTGAGAATTATTTTTTGCTACAAAACCTGATGGCCTCCTCCTGATGACGTACGTCCGTTTCTCATGTTATATGGTTGTTCTATTTAAAGTAAACATTCACTTCACAATGAGGAAACATTAAATGATATATTGGCGAGTTTTCGTCAAGATTAAATCTCAAAGATGAATTCGTAAAAAATAAGACCAGTCGAGTCGTTTCCTTGTAACATAACGACGCCATTCTGATAGGTCTAAGCCGATCATATTGTAATCGACCGTTCTGTTATCTAAACGTGATGATATGCGGGATATTTCGCGGTTTCCCGTTAAATGCCATATACATTTTAATATCAAGATGGCGGATAGTTTATTATTTGTTAGTAAGGGACAGCTATTTCTAATATTCAACAGACCGGAACAAATACAGCACAAGAAATCAATATATGAGTATAATTTGAATATTCAACAGATTGGAACAAACAGAGTACAAGAAAGCAATGCTTTATGTGTATCATTTGAATATTCAACAGATTGGAACAAACAGAGTACAAGAAAGCAATGCTTTATGTGTATCAATAATAAAAACATTTCATTGTAAAGAGAAATAAAAAAAAATCAAGTTATCAAGATTGATTAGCTTATGTACTTGGCAAAGGATTGTATAAGAGTTGAAGACTTCTAAACTGAAGCGAATATTAAGCGAGCCAAAACGGTAAACATGAGACGGGTTTCATGAATCACATATCAAATGGAAACGAGTGTGAGATTCTCTTTATCGCATTGAGGCAAACACTCGTATATAGATAATGGAAACCGGAATATAAACAACCTCGCACATCCTCACACGCAAACAACCTCGCACACCCTCACACACACACTATCTCGTACACCCTCAGTCTCACACAACACACACAACTTCGCACACCTTCACACGCACACAACACACAACCTCGCACACCCTCATACGCACACCATACACACAACCTCGCAAACCTTTACACGCACACAACACACAACCTCGCACACCCTCACACACACACACAATCTCGTACACCCTCAGTCTCACACAACACACACAACCTCGCACACCTTCACACGCACACAACACACAACCTCGCACACCCTCATACGCACATCATACACACAACCTCGCAAACCACACACACACACACAACCTCGCACACCCTCACACACACACAATCTCGTACACCCTCAGTCTCACACAACACACACAACCTCGCACACCTTCACACGCACACAACACACAACCTCGCACACTCTCATACGCACACCATACACACTACCTCGCACACCTTTACACGCACACAACACACAACCTCGCACACCCTCACACGCACACAACACACACAGCCTCGCACACCTTTACACGCACACAACACACAACCTCGCACACCTTCACACGCACACAACACACAACCTCGCACTATCATACGCACACCACACACACTACCTCGCACACCTTTACACGCACACAACACACAACCTCGCACACCCTCACACGCACACAACACACACAGACTCGCACACCTTCACACGCACACCATACACACAACCTCGCACACCTTTACACGCACACAACACACAACTTCGCACACCCTCACACGCACACCATACACAAACTCGCAAACCTTCACATGCACACAACACACACAATCTCGCACACCTTCACACGCACACAACACACAACCCCGCACACCCTCACAATCTCGCACACCCTCACACGCACACCATACACACAACCTCGCAAACCCTCTCACACACAACACACACAACCTCGCACACCCTCACACGTACACTATACACACAACCTCGCACACCTTCACATGCACACCATACACACAACCTCGCACACCCTCACACGTACACCATACACACAACCTCGCACACCTTCAGATGCACACAACACACAACCTCGAACACCCTCACACGCACACAACCTCGCACTCCCTCACACACACACTTTCCTTCAATGATCTCTCTACCGGAAACAGATAAATGCATTTTTTAATGTAACAGAAAAGTGCAACGTCATTGCCTTGAGGTCCATCATTTTCCTGTTTGTAAATTCACAGTAATATTTACACATTAATATCACCAAACCAAGACCCATATTATTTTTTATCAATTTTTAGAAAATTGCGCAAACTATGGTGGCTGATTCGGGACATCGTGATATCGCTTCGTTGAATGGGAAGCGATATCACGATGGCCCGAATCAGCCACCATAGCAAACACATAACATTCTATTGTGTACGTTTGACGATTAATTGCGTTTTTTCATTTTTTTTTTTTCATATGCATATACAGTCCTCAAAAATGTCCTGATACACGTTAAACGGTCACGTGATGTCTTTTTTTCAGCGATACGTACATATCGTCAAAGTCATTCTTTACCTTTAAGGAAAAACATAATGGGATTTTTTTTTACTTCACTTCATCTTAATACGAAAACAAAGACAAGAATTTCACATCTGTGTCCATTAAATATTGCATTTTTAATCAATAAACGTATAATTTGATATGACACCTACCTGAAAGCCTATGTCATGTCAATATATGAAAATCGTCATGTTTATTCAATATGACATGTAAAATGTGAATTTTAGACGTTTCTAGTAGTTTACCAGTGAAATCATCTGGGTTTTTTTCAGGAATGGTACGACGAGAAACTCAGTTGGGACCAACACCACTACGGCGGTCTTACAAGCATACGAATACCTTGCAACCGAATATGGCTACCGGATGTCGTGCTGTACAACAGGTGCTAGTCATGCGCACTTCATATATACAAGACACATTGCATAATTAAAAGTGATATTGTTTCCTTCTTATAAGCTTATATCAAAGTTAGCTATTAAAGTATTTCAATCAAATTTTACAGAAAGAAAATTCCAAAACCTCAATCTTCAGTTCCGATTGTTTTTTACCTTTTAAAAAGACCAGTTTTCAAAATATCTATATTAATAAGATATAAATATTTAGGTGCTTCATTGTGGGGAAAATCCTATCATTGTACAAATATTCATCAGTCCCTTTATTTCAGTGTCGATGATTACACATCCGGGTACATGCCGAGCCTCGCTATGGTTCACAATGACAGCCGGGTATTTTGGGGTCCAGTTGTCCGCTTCAGAAGTTCCTGTAAAATTGATATCACGTTTTTTCCATTTGACGACCAGATGTGTAAGCTGAAACTCGGATCCTGGGCTTATCATGGATTTCAGGTAAGCAAGAGACATACCTATGTTGTCAGTGGATATAAATGACTCTCGACAGGGTTGTCCTTCTCTCCAATAAAATTGACTTTACAAAGTTTACCTTATGAAACGCCAGACAAAAATAACTATCGTTAAACCGACTGTTTTTTTTTCATCTTTTTTATTTCATTTTATTCATTTTTCGTTGTTTTTTTTTTTTTTTTTTTTTCCTTTTTTTTAAAAGTACTCCCCACCTGTATGCCTAGTCGTTATCGGAAATAGAAAAATATAACATTCATGATACCACGCCTCTTGCTCCTTAATGTTCTCGGTCTGTCTATGTCCAATCTCATAATCTTAAGTTTATGGCACAGGATGCTTCACATCTGTTAATAAATCTAATTATATCTGGATGAAACAGTATTCCGCTATGGGTGCTATCTTATTTCCGTCAATCGGTCTTCAACACCATCTGTCATTGATCTGAACAGCTCGCCTCGCTATATACTAATTTGATAATTTCGCTTTGAAAAGTTCATAAAAAGCTCGAAAATTACGTGTAAATTATCAACATCTTAAACGGAGTCCATGTTTTATCTAAATTCGACATCAAACACAATGTTGCAAATTAAACGGAAATTAAATATACTTTTGTTGGTTTTTCCTTTGAAGTATTAAGCGAAGGGAGGTAACCAAAAATCAAATATATCCTTTTATAATTCCGGATTTTTTTTTAAAGAGGCAGTCATTTTACATGATAACGCCTTCCTTAAGAAATATATATTGTATTTTAATTTGGGAACATAATCTCTTATAATAATCATGCGGAATAAATAACGATAATGGTTTGATTAACCGATTTTAAGGTACATAATAACACACGTTAACAAGGTAAGGGGGTTTAAAGAGAATGCAAAACAGAGCGTATATCCAGTTTTTGTATCTGGATGCTCGCAGTAAAAATGTCAAAATACACGAAATATTTTACTTTTTAATAAACATTCTTTAAAACATTCTTTAAATTCTTTAGAAGCCACCGGGCGCACGACATCCGCCATTTTGATGAGATTAATAGACGAAGAATACATTTCGGTTTATAGAAAGATGATGGCATTCTACGATTACGTCCACAATTTGAAAGTAAAACTTCAATATTTGCATTTAATTTCCAAAGAGTTTGATTGATAAAACATTGAAAGGTGTGAACATCGGTGGAAAAGCACGGGGAGATCAACTGAAAACCATACTAGAAGTGTATTAGATGACACCACGTAGTGGTCATTGACAACGCGAACAGCAACAAAGTAGTTTCCAGAGAAATATATTACATGGATTTTTTTGGTATTTTTTCCAAATACATGAATCACGTGATACTTCATATTCATATCTTCCATTTTAGTAATCATTGACTACCGGTGAGTGCAATAACCGGCGTGGCTTGTGATCTTCCACAACCATAATAGCATTGCGTAAATTTTGGTAACCATTGTTACAGCTAGAAACCATGAAACGGAAATTTATATATCGAGTCATGGAAAAACACGATATTTTTACATTATTTATTTTTTTACTTTTTGTTGTTGAAAATATGTTGTATAATTATAAGAACTATTTCACTTTTTTGGCATCTCATCTTTCCTATTTCTACTCTAGGTCAATGTGTTCAATCGCTCTAATACGATTGACTTGTCTAACTTTGTTGACAACGGAGAGTGGGAGCTAGTGGAAAACCGGGTGGAACGGAACCAGGTCTACTATAACTGCTGTTCGGAACCTTTTCCGGATGTGACGTTTTACATATATTTGCGCAGGCGTATTAAATACTACTTCATGAACATCATAATACCTTGTATTATATTATCGTTTTTGTGCCTGGCTGGATTTTTACTTCCACCGGAAAGTGGAGAAAAGATAACTCTAGGACTATCTGTACTGCTCACGATTACCGTGTTTATGCTGATGGTGGCGGATAAGATGCCCCAGACGTCAGAATCTATCTCCGTCATCAGTAAGTATGTGTCCGCACATCATGTGACGTTTAAAACTTCTAGGCCGTGCTGCTATCTCGTCATTGTATCTTTTTATTCTTTTTTTATTTGTCCAGTGGTCGAAGTGACCACGACCTAGTGTAGTACCCAGCAGAGTCAAGTGGCCGAAGTGACCTCAACCTAGTGTAGTACCCAGGAGAGTCCAGTGGCCGAAGTGACCTCAACCTAGTGTAGTACCCAGCAGAGTCCAGTGGCCGAAGTGACCACGACCTAGTGTAGTACCCAGCAGAGTCCAGTGGCCGAAGTGACCTCAACCTAGTGTAGTACCCAGCAGAGTCCAGTGGTCGAAGTGACCACGACCTAGTATAGTACCCAGCAGAGTCCAGTGGCCGAAGTGACCTCAACCTAGTGTAGTACCCAGCAGAGTCCAGTGGTCGAAGTGACCACGACCTAGTGTAGTACCCAGCAGCAGAGTCCAGTGGCCGAAGTGATCTCAACTTAGTATAGTACCCAGCAGAATCCAGTGGTCGAAGTGACCACGACCTAGTGTTGTACCCAACAGAGTCCAGTGGCCGAAGTGAAGTGAAGTCTTTTAAGCCCTTCTTTAATCCTAAGACATACGCGCAGCCAAATTAGAGAAACAACCCAAATCTTTATATATATTTAATTTTTCATTTCAACACACAGTAGCTGTTTGTTTAAACTTTGCTTTTAATCTATTCAATCCACACATTGAAAAATAGGATTATCGCAAAACACACATGTATAACAATGATTCAAGACCACGTCCCCGTCAAGCGGTATAGATAACCTAAAAACCAAAACCCATTTATTTTTTAAAAGAAAACTCATATTTGGAATTTTGCTCCAAACATCGCGTAATGGTATCTTACAGGTCGCACGAGACAGAAAAAAATACATCGCTTGAGATTTAAGGTTTCATTGTACAAAAAATGAAATAACCTTAATTGGATGTATTCAATGGACAGGAATATCTCAATCCGTGTTGCCTGGTCAGCACGAGATTTGCAAAATATGTATTAACTCCTGATTCTAAGAAACATATATACATATATGAAAAAGCATGAATCGCTAAAATATCTTAAATAATTTTTAGATTCTAGAATACAAGTAACCGTTTGCAGTACAGTTTTGTTCCTCGTTGAAACATTAACGTCTGTACGATTGTCCTTACCTATATTTCTCTATTACAGGTATATATTTAATGGTCGTTCTGTCCATGAGCTGTATGTCAGTCCTGACGTCCGTCTGGATACTTAGTATACACCATCAGCGCGGGAAACCCAAACGAGTCCCAACATGGCTGCGCGTTCTTGTACTCACCTTCGTCGCTAAATGTTTATGTGTAAATATACGCCTCTTTGGTACGAAAGACAGAATACTAGATTACCGAAACCGGAAGAGAAACAAAAATAAGAAAATCAGAGTCGCAATGGAAGATCCGGAAATAATTCGAATGGATGGAAATGTGAGAGACCCTTTCGACATAGAGAATAGCATGTCCACAATCGAAAATAATATTTACAGGGAAAGCTACCTCGAGCGCGAAGACGCAATTAAGGATTTAATTGACTTGTTGCAAACGCGCCATCTTGAGGAGCTCTATGAAGAGGAGGTCTACAAGGAATGGAGAGATGTTGCCTTTGTCCTTGACCGAATGTTCTTTGTTCTATTTTTACTTATAACCACCATAGCAACGGTTTGTATCCTTGAGATGAGACCGTCTCACGGTAAACACTAACTGCTGAAGTTATTCCATCGCTGTCCGGTTGTTCACACTTCTCCCATGCAGTTCAAGTTTGTAAATTAAATAGGCATGACGTCATCAATTTACATGTGTAGTTGTTTACAGTGTATTCTCATGTTAAAAAGTCTTCCAGTATTCTCAGAATCACGTTCACTAGACGTTGTAACGGTGTGTTGGTGACGTCATTCTACAAAGAGAATGAATTTATGCAAAAACGGACGAGTTTTTAAAAGAAAATTTACAAATTGTTTTCGAAGTTTAATACTGACATGAATATGTACTTAAAATGTCTATACGTATGTATGAATTGCGGGTATAGGATACGCTGTCGATATAATGGTATATTTGAGCAATGTGCGTTCTATTTTATATAAAACATTTCGATAATCGGCAAAAAATTTTTTCTGTGTTTCAGAAAACCATTATAGAATTAAAGAAAGTCTATAAATGAATTTAAACCCTGAGTATATAGGAGTTGAAAATAAACTCAAAAACAAACTTTAGAAACTGATTTCAGGTGTTTTAGATATTAAGTGTATGTGTTAACGTGTACTCAGGCTATGTACAGCTTAGTTTAATCACGTTAAAGGTATGATTAAATGTTTTCAACACATACATAGAGAATCGCGAAAGGAGTGATCATGTACTGAAGAAAATATATCAAATGACTTAATGAAATGTTCAGTCAAAATAAATATAGGATCTTGCATGAATTTGCTATGTGAAGTTATGAAAGGCGTCTTAAGTGTGGAGTGGGCGTTTGACAGGCTAGAATGAAAAATTCGCGAAGAGTTCATAAATCTTATATTCAGTGGAAACGTACTTATTATTATATTTGTCTCATTACTATTGTTCACGCATTTGTGATATAAAACTGACATTTCTATGTGTCACACTTGATGTCAACTCCTCTCAAATATATTCTCTCGATTGCTACATCACAATGACATCGATAAATATGTGACGTCATTTGATTATCTAAAAGTGACGTCACAATAAGCTATTTTACACATGCGTACGACGCAATAATTCATTGTAAAATGGGATTCATTCACTTTTATACAATTGTTCCTCGTACAGTCTATGAATACATTCGTGAGGTCCATTTGAAATGAAAGAAAAACAAAAGGAAAATTGATATGGCATGAACACGAAAGTTAGATTCTGTTTATCCTTAAATTTGAAAAAAAAAAAAAAAAAAATCAAAATAATTAAATTACACCAAAATATGTTTATCTGTAACAAACTCTAAATGCAAATTATAGCTGTAAGCTGATAGGGTGCACATGTTACTGAGGGACAGTTGAACGTTTAAATTTGAATTATTCTGAAGAATGCATTATATGTAATACGACTTGTTTCGTTTCAAAGGAACGAATTCGGCTATGGTCGTTGTCTTTTTCTTACAAAAATGATGACGTCATTGATAGTGAAATCAATTTCCTCAATTTTCAAAAAAAAAATAATTGTTTGAAAATTAATTCGTTATTCAAAAAACATTGAGCCCGATTTTCGCCTTTTGTTATCCTCAAACTGGCGCTAACATTGTTAGAATACACCTGCCATATGTATTTTTGTTGTATTCAGCAGTGACGGAAAATAGCTGTATTTTAGCACTTGCATTAAGTCGATAGAATTCCTCTCTGATTTAAGTCATATCTCATTAAATTATATGTAATTGTTTGAATAGGCTATTTTATTTGTTGTAACAAAGCAAGTTTATTTACGAAAATTCATAAAAATGCTTTTATGTCCATCGAACTACGGAACTTTATTTCCTCGCGGAGCAATCTTTTTCACGTGCGTCATCAGACACAATTTGGCGTAACGTAAACGTCAGGTTAACGGATAGACAATGTCGGGAATCTGGATTTTAGATAAGTACTGCAGGATTAATAGATTACCTAGCCAATGACGTTAGACATAAGCTGCATTTTGAATCGGAACTTGAAGACAAAAATAGTTCTCCAAAAGGCTCGTCATTTTTGTCTTTCTTAACAATCGCCCAAATGAAGCTTACCTATCAAGACACTGACCATGTCCTCTCTCTATGTTTCACTCTTTGCAGTCTTTCTTAGAAAATATTTCGAAAACGATAAATGCTCCAAAGATTTAGAAAATAAACATACTTATTATCTGTTTACTGAGTGTTGGCTTTTGTTAGTATTTGAAAGATATCAAATCATCTTTTTCAGAATAAAATGGAAGGTGTTTACAATCATCATGATATATCTCCTACCCGGCCGATTTCAAGGCCAGTGCAGAACTGGGGATATCCGTGTTTTCTGCATACTTAAATCATTTAATTAACTACTTAAAAGCACATTTAACAATACATAGAAGAAAATTATGCCAAAATTCATTCAAAATGATAAAGGCATAATTTTAAAATATTCAAGTTAAATAGCCAGACCCACTCCTCGACCGATATTTTTTAAATATTTTTCCCGGGTAGCAAAAGTTCTGACTAACCCTGTAATACCGCAATTTTTAAAGTAAATCGCTACCAATCTACCGTGATAAATGGTTTTAAAAAAGAATTCGAAACGACTCAGTGCTAATTCATAATTATGCGGGAAGTCCTGCCCTCCGACGCATGCGCAAAGAACTGTAAAAAAAAAAATCTGCCGTCTTCCAACATGGCAGAAATCGTGCGAGGGAAGCGGGGAAGAAAACGTGTTTTGACGGACTCTGAGGCGAAAAGAAGGAAGATGGCTGGTTCATACTCTGTATCGCTCTCTGTTTGGCTCTCTCGTGTAGTATTACTCTAAAATCATATTCAGAAATACTCTTATCATCGAATGTTCGCTTTAGATCCATTTCGCGATGTTCTAAATGTTCATTACCCTATCGTAGCCCCCATTTGAGGGCCTCTTTGCAATTAATCGTAATTTTCTCGTAATCTGCACGTGTTTGTGTCTAAGCATTGAAAGATGTGATCAATACATACGTTAGATGATTTCCATACAGGATATATAGAGTATTGATTGCATTTATCGGTAAAATCTCTTTACAAGCGATGTCACATGGACGTACTACTCACCATTTCCTCCATTTTTGTTTTGGTTCTGACCGCGTCTGAACGTATCACGTGACTTTTCCTCATCAATATTCATATTCTGGTGTTGATTAATGAGACTAATTTTGGCACCGATATCTGCGATACCCTTTCAATTTCAGGTTCGAAACTTTATACAAGTCTTTATCTATATATTATCTATTAGTATACAGCAACATTTTCAGTCAATAAAACACGAAAAAATATCTATAACGGAGTGGGTCTGGCTCTTTAAAATATTCAATTTCACTTAAAACGTTAATCTAACTTTGTTAAAGGGAGGTAACTCCAGATAATTTGAATTGGAATTAACTTCTGCAAGTATCCGCATGCAATGTCCCCGTGTGGTCAGATAATCTTATTCATATTCAATAAATACTCAGATCAGTTGTTGTATTCACTCTACTGTCATTAACACATAAAGCAGTGTTGTTACCTGTTTAAGAATACTTGTTCATAGCACTTAAATCCGTAATAAGTATTATAGTATTGGGGTCATGAGACACTTATACAGAGGTCGAGGTGAAACACTTTATGAGAAAATGTAAAAAAAAAAAAAAAAAACTTAGTACCAAGAAACGATTTTTGGCACGTATTCATCAGTTTCCAAATCTTGTCATTAATGTACAACCCGTAGACATAATTCTTAAGGGTATATAACACATGTATTTATACATAAATACATTTATTACCTCCATTGATAAAGAGTTACAGAAAGCGAGGTAACAAGATGTGCTTATAAAACACTATATCCCCGGTTGCAACAAAATTCTGAAGTGGGACATTAAAACTCTAATCGGCTAATTGTATGCACGCGTTGTGTGACACAGCATTGTGTCTGCATTGTGGTGATGACTATTTTCACAATTTCAAATGTAGGTCAAAGGTCGCGCTAAAGGTCACAAAGTCAAAATTACCACCGAAAAGGTCTTGTCACAATGAACACTCATATCAAATATGAAAGCCCTACCTCTTACCGTGCAATGGTTATTGGTCAGGTTAAAGTAGACAACAGACAAACAGACAAAATAAGAAAAAAATGAGAAAATATGCAACGATCCTTTTGTCCGGGGGCATAAAAATATTACACCGATTCGAACAATATCAAAAGAAAGAAATGAACACTTTCACTGGTACTTACACAAAGATATACACACATATATACACGGACAATTTCACACATATACACGGACAATCCCACACATACATACAGACAATCTTACACATACACACAGATATACACGGACGATGTCACACATACACACAGATATACACGGACAATCACACACATACACACAGATATACACGGACAATCTCACACATTCACACTGATATACACGGACAATCTCACACATACACACACATATATACATGGACAAACTAACACATACCCACAGATATACACGGACAATCTCACACATATATACACATATATACCCGGACAATCTCACCCATACATACATATATACACAGACAATCTCACCCCTACATACATATATACACAGACAATCTTACACATACACACAGATATACACGGACAATTTTACACATACACACAGATATACACGGAAAATCTCACAGATATACACTTACAAACTCACATATACACGACCAATCCACATATACACACAGATATACACGGTGAAACTCACACATACACACCGATATACAGACAATCTCACACATACACACAGATATACACAGACAATCTCACACATACACACAGATATACACAGACAATCTCACACATACACACAGATATACACGGACAATCTCACACATACACACACATATACACAGACAAACTCGCACATACACACAGATATGCACAGACAATCTCAAGCATACACACAGGTATGCAGAGACAATCTCACACATACACACAGATATACACAGACAATCTCACACATACACACAGATATACAAGGAAAATCTCACTCATACACACATATATACACGGACAATCTCACACATATACACGGACAATCCCACACATACACACAGACAATTTCACACATACACACAGATATACACAGACAATCTCACACATACACACAGATATACACGGACAATCTCACACATACATGCATATATACACAGACAATATTACACATACACACAGATATACACGGACAATCTCACACATACACACAGATATACACGGACAAACTCTCGCATACACACAAATATACACCGACAATCTCACACATACACACATATATACACGGCCAATCCACATATACACACCGATATACACAGACAAATTCACACATACACACAGATATACAGACAATCTCACAAATGCACACATATATATATACACACACACATATATACAGACAACACACATACACACATATATATAAATGCACACACACACATATATCTCACACATACACACAGATATACACGAGACAATCTCACACATCACACATACACACATATATAAAGGACAATCTCACACATACACACCGATATACAGACAAACTCGCACATACACACAGATATACACAGACAATCTCACACATACACACATATACACAGACAATCTCACACGTATACTGAGATTTGATTTCATACTCTTTCACATACACACATATATACACGGACAATCTCACATAACCCACAGATATACACGGACAATCTCACACATTCACACAGATATACACGGACAATTTCACACATACACACAAATATACACGGACAATCTCACACATACACACAGATATACACAGACAATCTCACACATACACACATATATACAGAGACAATCTCACACATACACACATATTTACACGTATAATCACACACATAGACACATATATACACGAACAATTTCACACATACACACAGATATACACAGACAATCTCACACATACACACAAATATACACAGACAAACTCGCACATACACACAGATATGCACAGACAATTTCAAGCATACACACAGATATGCAGAGACAATCTCATACATACACGGACAATCTCACACATACCCATCAGATATACACAGACAAACTCACTCATACACACAGATATACACGGACAATCTCACACATACACACAGATATATACAGACAATCTCACACATACACACAGATATACACAGACAATCTCACACATACACACAGATATACACGGACAATCTCACACATACACACAGATATACACGGACAATCTCACACATACACACAGATATACACAGACAATCTCACACATACACACAGATATACACAGACAATCTCATACATACACACAGATATACACAGACAATCTCACACATACACACAAATATACAGAGACAATCTCACACATACACACAGATATACACAGACAATCTCACACATACACACAGATATACACGGACAATCTCACACATACACACAGATATACACGGACAATCTCACACATACACACAGATATACACAGACAATCTCACACATACACACAAATATACAGAGACAATCTCACACATACACACATATATACACAGACAATCTCACACATTACACCACTATATTGTAGGATTCTAGTAATTATTGAGTTAGTTCTATACTCCTCTAGTTCATATGGAGTTAATTAAGGTAAGGATATCGTCAAGAACATAAACGAGAATACGACATTCAGTTCAGATAAAATATTAAAGTCTTTTGCCGTGTACACCAGAGCTGATCACGTGATATCTTGGTGTGTGAACATTCAAGTACGCTATGCATGATAATGTCTCTGTATATAGAACCACAATAGTGACACAATAGCATATTTTTATGATCACAAATATTTCCACACTAAGTTTGACAATTTCCTTGAATTGTATTTAAAATCAGGGAGAACGTAAAGTAAGTTTCTATACAGTATACAGTGGTATGTCTAGAACAAAGCCTCTTCTGTTAGTGGCACAAATTCAATTCTAATAGACGTTTTCTATGAATTGAAACACCTCTAGTAAAAAAAAACAGAGGCGCCGCCATCTTGTTGCATTTTAAATACTCATGACCTTGATAGCGTGCCAGAAAGCAGAGATGATTTTTTTTTATCATAATTTCTGAACATGAAGGTTATTTTCTCAAAATTGTGCTTTTGAATTGAAAAGATTTTTTCTACGTTAAAAATTTGTTTTTCATAAATCAAGTTCGTAGTGAACGATTGATATTTGATTGATGCTTAGTTTATCACTTGATCATGATTGCAGAGAAGCTTTACGATATTGACACTTACAAACGCACAGTTGACCAATATGGCGGGAGAAGGTAGCAGACGACTTAAATTGGACTTGAAATAAAGGGAAATTCATTGTCCAGGCATGGTCAGTTCATCTAATTTAGTCACGATTTATTCGGACCAGTTGTTGTTAAGTCGCTACGTTCATTAATATAAAAATTAGAATTATTATATAAATACTTTGTCAGGTTTCGTTCCCAGTAGAAGAAAACCTTGTTTGTTTGAAGTAGGAAAATACATTTGCTGCGAAATATGAATGTTTTGTTTACTCTAAAATGTAATTTTTCTCAAAATATACGTTTTGAATCTTCATCAGTTTGTACCCATAACGGAGACTCCCCACGTACAGTTTTAAATAATTTATTTTTTTAAATTTTTCTTCAGGAAACTACTTCACTGAAACGCTTTTCTTTTTCTTGATAATTTTTGTGCAGCGATTCTGTCGCTATTTGTTTCTCTGGCGTTAAGCTGAACTATTAGAAGGGCGACAACTCCGGTCGAATATGACGTATCTATAAGCTGACAACGCCACGCGTTCCAATGAATCGCATACGTTTTTTTTATATAATGGTGAGACATACAATTAACATCATTCGTATAGGCATGTATATTCATCAGCTCTAAAAAAATCAAAGATATCTTATTCAAGGTTTTCTCGTTTTTCTCTCCCTTTTTTACAGCCTTTGTCCGTCATACTTTCTTTCTATCCCCTCTGATTGACAGAACACTGAGAGATGAACCGACGAAGTATCGGCATTCTGTTGCTGATACAACAACAGGTTCTTCCATTTAATTTTAGCCTCCCTCCCCGACAATAAAAAAAAACATATTCAGTTGCATTGATTTTGGAGCTCTTGATCATTTTCTGCAGTCTGTGAGATACAAAAGAGTAAGCAAAGAAAGATAACTCTGATTTTGAGGCCGGGCTTATCTTGTTTCGACGTATACAATGTACGACATTTGACAACAGAAGATAAACTGGAGTTTCGCAAATAAAAAAGGAAACCATTGATTAAAAAACAAATGACAAAAAACGTTTTTTAATTGTAATTCTCTCTCTCTCTCTCTCTCTCTCTCTCTCTCTCTCTCTCTCTCTCTCTCTCTCTCTCTCTCTCTCTCTCTCTCTCTCTCTCTCTCTCTCTCTCTCTCTCCCTTCAAAAGAAGTGGTCAATCTGGACATTTGAATTTTGACTGTGAATATCAGGATAGCATAGAGATGTGATTGGACCTGTATACAACATGTACAAACAATAACAAAATTCATGTTTTTACTGTAATGTCCCTTTAAAATACAAATATATATTTCATACTTAATGGTATACAAGGAAACCGATTAATGCCACGTGATGTCAGCTTATACAGTCACACGTGATCCCACGAGAACTGCTTTAGGTGCTAATCTCTGTAATACATACGAGTACGCACCGCACGTGACCTCCACAAGCTGTTACATGTACAAGAATTGTGATCAGTCAGTGTGTGAGATCTTCGATACCAGACGATTTTTTTTTTCGGCAAAAAATCTTTCTTGCTTTCGCTTAGATAAAAACATCTGACTTTAGCATTGGAATAAAGGACGAAAATCAAGATTTCTAAGTAACGATAAACATTTACAATAACAAATTATGATACACGTACTTTAAGATCGGTCGGGTGGCGATGTGGTAACGCACTCTCCTTTCATGTCCGGGGTTCGATTCCCGGAACGAACGTGAAAAGGTATGTAGTTATCACGTGGTTTTTCCCCCGGATAGTCCGGTTTCCTCCCACATGAAGACCCCTCGCACGCTTCCATCAGGGCCAACAAAAATGATAATTTAAGTTGGAAAAAAACCGTGCTTAACAATTGGTGTTTAACTTTATAAAGTTGATTTTATCTAACAAAAAGTCTCACATCCGTAATTATTTCTGGTTTTTAATTATCTCCCAGGCCTTCTTAAAGTCGTTTGGTGTTTTGTAATCATAAAAAGCAAAATGATGTTTTTGTGTGAGAATTTTGTCCTTTTCCATCATAAATCTTGCATCATGTTGAGGAATAATATTTAGTTTCAACGACACTAATCCCAAATAGCTGTCGTCTACATGTAGATATTTAACGTAAGGAAACGCTACTGAAAACTGGCGTGCAATCTTTTGTGATATGAGGAAAGCTCCCCCTCTCAGATAAGGAGGCCAGTGGTTATATGGGTACACTTTCCAAGGAATCCTCCATGGACTTCTTCTGTTGCGATAAACGCTTCCTTTGTTAATGCGGTATCCGACGTACAACTTATCCATCCGATCCGGATTTAAAGACCGGAGGTATGATAAGATATTGTGCAGGTTAGGAAAATGGTCGTCGTCGATGAACAGAATCACATTTGCCGATGAACACTTATTTACTGCCCAGTTAAAACCCATCATCGATTTTAGTGTGTTGTTCGAGTACGCGTCTATAAAATTCTCCATGATGAGGTCACCGAAAGCACCCATCTCCATGGCAATCGTATCCTTCAACGAAGGGGAATAGCCCAGCATAAATAAAACTTTGATGTTCTTTCCAACATTTCCGGCCCACGTGTTTCTGATGGCATTCCGCATAAAGATGTTTCTGACGCTGGATTTTACAAGAATCAAAAGCGTTACGTCTGACGTGGTGTTGAAGTGACACTCACCCGGTCTATGGATGTACTTTTGCTTGTTAACGTTAATCAGTTTGAATGGGATGTCTATGTCGTTCTCAATTTTATTTCTTACTGCCTCCTCCAAGTCTACATCCAAAGGGAACTTGATGATTGGTTTGATTATTTCTTCCGTATCCATAGGGAGTGTTACAAGGTTTTCAGTGGTTGGTTCGTAGGCAAGGGGCGACTCAGTCTTTTCAACTAACTCCGGAAGTGAAGAACTGGTGTCAAGATATCGTTTATTTATAAAAATCCGGATATCCTGTTGTACATGAAAAGCGAGATATGTGGTAAGCACAACCATTATCAAAGGCATATAGCGAATTCGTCTCCGCATACCCATGTTTTGAAATGTTACACGCTGTCCAGTGCTATATTTGGAAACAATCTACTTCCCTCTATGATAGTCACTTCTCAGGGGTGATAGTTGCTTCATTGAAGCGCCTTTCTTCTTTGACACTGGGTAAAATCAATCTATACCGATTATTGGAAAGGACTAGAAATCATTGACTCGAAAACACTGTTACCGTAGCATTCCTCGCCCAATTAGAGTTACCTCCCCTCGTGAATCCTTTCTAAATATAAATATATATATATATGTTTCATTTATCTATTCATATTTTTGCGGCTTTGTTGTCCTCAGTTTGTTGTTAAACTTTTTGTATGATGCTTAAAATCTGGATTTTCTAGAATTGCTGAAAGGATAAAGAGTTGTCTCCCTTAGCGCTTATGCGTCATCTCTTCGTTGTATTCTATGTGTTTCAACGATCTCGTTAAGCCGAAGATGCAGATGATACTCCGGAAAAATGCTGTTCTGAAAAAAAAAATGAAAAGAAGAAAGAATTAAAACATTTATTTTCAACCAGAAGTATGCATTTTTCACTGCGTACCGGCGAATTTTGAAAAAATTTTCGTAAAGTTTTAATTTCCTTCATATTATTTACCTCGAATCGATATGTCCACGAATCGATTGTCTTAGGATAGGACAATTATTTTTAAATAAAAGAAGAATCCTTAAATTACTTTAGTACCCCAAATTGATTTTGTTGTTTGATCGTGTTTTGACGGTGAAATTTGATCCCCAAGGAAATATGACTGCGCGCTTTATATAGGTAGTTTTCTGGCATAATATGTTAGGCATGTGAACTGTGTTATCATAACACAGACTATTGTTGAAAAAAAAAATAAAGTAACTTAAGTTTGATTACTCGCTCGTAATATTTGTTAGAACGGTATTAAAATTTTCTCTTGCATCCGGGTTCCGCTTCACTGCTATCCAGGCCTTCAAACTGACCTTATTTGGAGATTCAATATGCATGCTACCCGCGGCAGTTTGCGTTTCACAGGACGCTAAGAAACTGACTGGTTTTAGGCATCATTGTTGTTTTCTTTGGGACGGGCCTCCCGTATGTTGTTCAGTGAGTTAACTACAAGGAGACTCCCTCAAAATGATACTGGATAACTTCAAAACTTATTATCGACAAGAGACACCATTGGTCGCTTTATCGTCAATCTTTTTTAATTCGAATAAAATTGAGTTTATCGTTAAAAGTTGAAATACCATAAATCTTAAACCTTCTTGGAGTTTAATATTCATGAGTTTCTAAAAGTAATCACAATTTATCTTTTTATAAAAAGAGAGAGAGAGAGAAGTGGGGCACTCTGCTTATTGTGCCTATTTCTCCAGTTCAAAAGACAACTGAGCCCGTATTCATGAAACCGTTCTCATGCTCAAGCATGACTTTTGTGTTCAAGCCTTATGTCTTGTTTAAGTTATAAATTAATAAATAAGACTGATTTTGCCAAAGATTTTAAACAAATGTTGAAAGGACTTCAAATCAAGGTTATATTCAATGTTTATATTTGACATTTGTATTATTTCATATGATTTAGCCAAATTATTAAAAAAAGTCTCCTTTAGCACAAAACCTATGCTAGAGCATGATAATGGTTTCATGAATACGGGCCCAGGTGATTGGATGACTTTACAAAGACACAGCCTACTGTGTCTACCTCGTGTGCACGTGTACACTGAACAAGGTCAATGCCAAATCCTGACGAATGCGAAAATATCACTTACATGGCAGATTGTTTCTTGGACTAAATAAATATCATAACATCATTATTAGGCCATTTAGACAACGAAAGATGCATTTATGAAAAATAAATAAATAAAAATGGCGATAGAAGCCATGAAATCAAGCCGACATTTTACGGTACGTTTCATCCCAGTCCACACTATTTTAGTGCTGACTTTTGAAATTATATGCAATGTCTTGGTCGACTTTTCTGGTTGAGTTACGGGTCTTGTTTACCGATGCAGTGCTTACTTAATAGGAAACCAAAAAGTAAAAATTAGCGGATAATGGTAACGTTGAGGTATATCATCCGTCGAGAAAGACAAAAATCTTGAGGAAGACAGATAAAGAAAACTGAAATGATAACAATTATAATTACAGTGATAAAGGCATCAAATATTCTGTTTCGGAAAATGAAAAATATATATATATAAAAAAATCAATAGATATATAAAATAAACAGATAACCACAATCATCATTTGTCAACAACGAGGATGACTTGCCGCTGTTTACCTGGCTCTGTTTAGTTGTCGTTGATATATGATGGCGCCCATATGACAGAGACGTAACGTCACACATTAACTACAGCGGTACTCACCATAAAGATAACTAACAGACAGAACGGTCCTTCAGAAATCCTTCCTTCATATCTACGTCTTTTTGTCAGCAATCTAGCATTCTAATGGGGTTTTTTCAACATCTTTGATTTTTGAGCCGATGTACTAGCTCCACTGATGTCATCGCCTGATTGTATTTTGAAACTTCCCTGTAGATAAAGTGACAGAGGTGTGACGTCATGCATCCACTGAATTGACAATCTCTCAGTGATTTAAGAGGCCAGTCCATTCATATTCCATTTTAGTGTTTGATTCTTGTACACAGCCTTGATTGATTGGCATCACGGTATCTGCTTTGTAGACTTGAACAAGTCAACACATCGTGTAATCTATAATATTACTTTCAAAGTTACTTTTTGTCAACTGAAACTATAATCCATACGCAATTCGATAAGCAATATTTCATTTGAACGTCACAAAAAAGGAAGTGTCTGCCGAATTTCTAGATGTCGTAACTTCCGGCATGAAGAGATAAGAAGCGAGCACCTTTTACAACTAAGTGATTAATATTGAACTGAACAGGTGTCAAAGATGTTGTATAGAATCTGGTCAAGTCGCATTCCCTCCGGCCAAGTGGTCATCTATCTACATAGGTCAAGATAAAATCGACCACTGAAAACCACCTTTGCATCCCCTTTGGCTAAGCCATGACATCTATAACGAAGATAAGGTCGACCTTGAGCCGTATTTGTCTAGAATTTTATAAACCAGTGTTATTTCAACACGGATTTGGCATTTCAAATTTATTCTCACGATTTGCTTTCGCTGTGTGTGTACTTTTGTTTTGTTCTTATTCAAATAGATTTCTTGATAACATTTCTTATTTACTTGTTTAAATTATTGCTTAAATCAACTATTGTAATTATGATGTTGTTTATCTGTAAATGGATTAGTAGCAATTCATATAACACAACCAGTAGAAGATTTCATTTAGACGTTTCGGTCATCTTCAGCAGACAAATGACCAGTGTTATGAGTACAAGCACTGACGTACGTAGTGTACGAGATGGTAAGGAATTGATCAACGTTTTCGGCCCTACTTTAATACAATGTACATTAAGGTCTAAAATAGTGTGGCGAGATGGTAAACAGATTATAAATAAAAACGTCACATTGAAGTACTCCACTGGTTGTGTTATAGGAACTTCTATTCTAGTGACATCACCAACCTGAAGAAAGACTTCCGGAAATTGCTCTGTGAAATACCATCTTTGATATAACGATATAATTTGTATATTCAAAAGCTGCTAATGTCTTTCTGGTAAACTGCTGTGATTATCACTTTTTTTTCAAAGTAATGTTATCAACGCCCCGCCCCCTCCCCCGGAAGTCCGTTAAATGGTACGACGAGATATCTATGTAAAACGTCTAGATCCTGGCACAAGGGTTAGAAGAAATCCGGTGCCTGACAAAGTTTCGCCTTTGAGTAATCTTCGATCATCGAAATATCGCACAGACATGGCGACACTTTGTAGGGTGTCGATTTGTACTTTATATATGTAAACACTATCGATAGATATATGACAAAAATATGGTATCAATATACAATCTTAACATTAAAGTAAGATATTAAAAAAATGAATTTTGTACATTCTCATTTTCATTAACGTATACACAGTAATCTTATATCCAACACATTACACATATTTGTTACAATATTCTCTCGGTTCGTTAATCGTATAATCAATGTTTTATCAACGACCGTGAGGTAATACTGGCGTGATGTGATATCACACGACAAAAGTCTAACTGGTTAAGTCTATTATAGCAATCTTTCCCTGTATTTCCTTTGAGCATCAGAATTATAGATTTTACATGTAAATCAAGATGTGATTATGATTCCTAACAACTGTGAAACAACGAGAATAAGTACTTGTGCACTCACACACAATCAAACAAGAAGAAAAAAAATACCTGCATGTAATTATAATCCTAACTAAAATTTGATAATACTAGGGCGAACTATGATAAAAAATACACAAAGACCCCTGAACGAATACAAGGGAATAAGACCAAGTGTTCCGGGAGAGTCAGCGTCTTCTGCCTCATCGATGACACCCACCATGTCATAGTAAGTTATGACATGTTCTCAAATGAGAGCAAGTTATACAACAACAAAACCAGCAGGAAAAGTAACGAGCATCAAACACGTTCATTACGTATTCAATGACTAGTGTTATGATTTATATGCACACTGCACTGTTCAGGACGTGCTATCAGGTAACCGATATCTACTGCTACCATGTCCAATCTGTTACCTCCACCTGTTTCCCAGCGTTGTATTATGCCAATACCAACTTCATCTCCACCGCTGCGACCACCGTCTGGAGCAACTGGTTGCCATACCTCGGGCCGCACTGCAGAGGTCTTAACCAATACCACCGTGGTAACCATGGTAACCAAGGTGTCGCAAACTCTGAACTGAAATTATCTTTTCTCAACGTCTAAGGCATCATATCCTAACCGCTTCTTCCAGAATTTAATGACATCATCACATCTCACGATATCTTTAATCTTGTTGAGACTAAAACTGACTGTGTTTATGTACATAATGTACTACAAGGTTGTGCATATTTCATCAGGATTAAATGTAAGAAAAAATCTGGTGGAATTGTCATTATTTACAAAACTATGCTTAATCGATTTT